CCCCCCCCTTTGGGGATTTGAAAAAGGATCTTTCAATTCTGCAATAAAACACCCACAATATAAGATTATTTGTTCGTTCGTTTGTTTGTTTGAGTAGGTGTTTTACGGCACTATCGACTCAAAACACCCTAAGAGCACCTTCCAACCACCTACGCAACTCACAAATGGTGGCGTCCTATCGGAGACGGACTGTGTCTGGGGGAGTACCGTTCTGGGTAGTCTGGAGGCGGGAATTGTCGTGGTGGGGGCGGGAACTGAAAGACCGGGCCAAGGTCCCGGGGGTGTCGCCATGTTGGACTCGAACCCCGGCCATTGCCAGGCGTCAGGGATCTGTTTGACGGAAAATAAGTTCAGTCTTAGGGTGCGTTCAGTTTAGTTTGCGTGAGTGATCTGTTCAAGTAAGTTCAGTTTAGTTTAGGTAGGTTCATTTTAGTTAGTGTACGTTCATTTTTAGTTAGGGTAAGTTCGGATAAGTTTGGGTCATTTCAGTTTAGTTTAAGTAAGTTCAGTTTAGTTTGGGTAAGTTCACTTTAGTTTGGGTAAGTTCACTTTAGTTTGGGTAAGTTCAGTTTAGTTTGGGTAAGTTCAGTTTAGTTTGGGTAAGTTCGGTTTAGTTTGGGTAAGTTCACTTTAGTTTGGTTAAGTTCGGTTTAGTTTCGGTAAGTTCAGTTTAGTTAGGGTACTTTCACTTTAGTTAGGGTAAGTTTGGATTAGTTTGGATAAGTTCGGATTAGTTTGGGTCAGTTCAGTTTAATTTGGGTAAGTCCAGTTCAGTTTGCCAGTTTAGTTTGGGTAAGTTCAGGGTAAGTTCAGTTTAGTTTACGTCAGTGAGCTGTTTAAGCAAGTTCACTTCAGTTCACTTCAATTTAGTTCGGGTACGTTCAGTCTTAGTTTGGGTAAGTTCAGTATAGTTTGCGTCATTGATCTGTTTAAATTAAATTAAGTTTAGTTTGGGTAAGTTCAGTTTAGTTTGAGCAAGTTCAGTTTAGACAAGTTTGAGTAAGTTCGGTTGGGTTGAGTTTAGTTTTAGTAAGTTCAGTTAAGTTAAGTTTGGGTAAGTGCAGTTTAATTTGGGTTGGAACAAAAAGAAGGACATTGAAACAATACTGGCCTTTTATTGCAGGGGGAAAGTTTTCGTTAGCTTAATAAAAGTTTCACGGTACTTGCAACACAGTCTGGTCACCTAAATACCGAAGATTTGAGGTGTTGCGAAAGAGTAACATTTAAGGAAAAGAAGGGGGAGAGAGAATGACGATTGACGCTTGATAGGAAAGAAGGCGCACTCCCCTCCAACGCATCCGCCAACCACCAGCAAGTGGATGGTTAAACCTATCTGTACGCCCTGGGGTTATTTTGTACCCCCGGGGTTGTATTCTTCACATTTTAAAATACTTCTAGTACGAAGATCTTTGAAAATTTCAGTATTTCTCAAAAAATCATTTTGACAGACTGCTAATCAAAGCGCACGGATCGGATTAACGAGTGAATTTCCTCTTTGGAAAGTGGTGACACAGAGTTCACCAAGTCGTATGGATACGATGGTAAAACATGACGCTTCGTATGGACACGATGGTAAAACATGACGCTCTGATAGTGTTAAGCGCTCGTCAGACCCATTCCCAGCTGGGTGAAATGAGGAAAAATTAGACTGCAGAGTGAGCGATTCACTTTGTAGAACGTTCCAACCATCGATTGATTGGTTGATTGAGTAGGTGTTTTACGGCACTATCCAACCATCGACACCGACAGAGATACAGTTGAGACTGTCTAAGACACCCCAAAAATCTGTTGTCTTATAGAGGTGGACGTCTTGCATATATTGCCAATATGGTATAATAAAAAAAAGACTACGGTGGGACGTGGTCGTTTGTACAGGTGGTCGTTTGCACAGACAATTGTTTTGGACAGGTGGTTGTTAGAGCAGGGTAGAGTATTACCTGAGATACGGGCGAGCTGACTCCATCAGTCTGGGCAATGAGTCTTGATTTGAAGACATTTTCCGTCTGTTTTCACCTAAAAAAAGGAAATTATTTTCTTTGTAAAATGTAAGCGTCTTATGCCCCTGTGGATACAATTTAGATTTAGGGGGTAGGCTAAACAAAACAAAACATATTATTACGGGATAGAACTTCTATCTCTCTCTCTCTCTCTCTCTCTCTCTCTCTCACATACACACACACATACACGAACACACACACACGCACACACACACGCATTGACACACACACACACGCACACACAAACACACACACACACACACACAAACACACACACACACACACACACACACC